GTCACATTCTTTGAGTCCCACTCCTACTTCTTGTCTTTTTCAGTGTCCCAGTCATCCCTTCAGGGAGAGCCTTGCTGTGAAAAGATTCTTGTTGTCCCTGTTGCTCCTATGGTGGAACCAATTGTTCCTGCACCACCTATTATTGGGACTATAAAATCCAATGCCACCAAGGATAAAGAAAGGCAAGTTTATATCAGGGACAAAGACAGACAGAAAATTATTTGAATACAAGAGACCACTTCTGCTCACCCACTACCATCTCCTGCTTCTGATAAGAGTCCAGGTAATTTTAAACCTCTTGTTTCTCTTAAGTATACTAATATTGCTATTTTCTGACACTACTGATCTTGATATTCCTATTGCCAAAAGAAAGGGTATGAGATCTTGTACTCAACATCCTATCTCAAACTTTGTGTCCTACTCTCATTTGTCTTCCTCTTATAGAGCCTTTGTGTCAAACATTTCCTCTGTTAGTATTCCTAACCATTTTGAGGATGCTCTCACTACCTCTGAATGGAAACTTGCCATTATTGAGGAAATGAAAGCACTTCGTAAGAATGGCACTTGGGAATTAATTGAGTTACCTAAAGGTAAACGACTGATGGGATGCAAATAGGTGTATGCTGTGAGCACAAAATAGATAGTTCCATTGAGCGTTACAAAGCTTGACTTGTGGCAAAAAGCTTCACTCAGACTTACGGAGCAGATTATCAGGAGACTTTTGCACCAGTGACTAAGATGAATTTAGTCAGAATACTTCTCTCTCTAGCAGCTAATTTAGATTGCCCACTTCATCAATTTGATGTAAAGAATGCTTTCTTATATGGTGATCTAGAAGAAGAGGTATATATGGACATTTCTCTTGGTTTTGAAGATCATTAGATAGAGGGTAAAGTATGCAGTTTTCGAAAGTCGTTATATGGTCTCAAACAGTCTCCAAAGGCTTGGTTTGAGAGATTCACTCAGGCTATGCTTAAATATAGTTTCAAACAAAGTCAGGCAGATCACACTTTCTTTGTGAAACATTCCTCACGTGGTAAGACTACTGCTCTCATTGTTTATGTGGATGACATAGTGTTTACAGGCGATGATAGTGAGAAAATACCCCTGTAGAAGAAATATTTAGCTAGTGAGTTTGCAATTAAAGACTTGGGAAACTTGAAATATTTTCTAGGAATTAAAGTTGCTCGCTCCAAAGATGGGATTTTCATCTCACGAAAGAAATATGTTCTTGACCTTTTGACAGAAACAAGGATGCTCGGATGTAAGGCCTGTGATACCCCACTGGAACCTAATCAAAAACTTGGTGATAATGAAAGAGGAGCAGTTGTTGATAGGGAGAGTTATCAATGACTAGTAGATAAGTTCATTTACTTATCTCACTCTCGTCCTGATATTGCTATTGTTGTCAGTATGGTTAGCTAATTTATGCACGCTCCTTATCAAATTCACTTAGAGGCTGTTATGAGAATTCTGAGGTACTTGAAATCTTCTCCTAGAAAAGGCCTTTGCTTTTCCAAATATGATCACCTCAGAGTGGAAACCTATACAAATGCTAATTGGGCAGGGTCCATAATTGATAGATCTACATCAGGATATTGTACCTTTGTGGGCGGCAATCTTGTTACTTAGAGGAGTAAGAAATAGAATGTGGTGGCTAGATCAAGTGCAGAAACTGAGTTTAGAGCTATGGCACAAGGTGTGTGTGAACTCTTGTGGATCAAACTGTTGTTGAGTGATCTGAGGATGGGCCAGACAGACTTTATGTGGCTATATTATGATAATAAGGCTGCCATCAACATAGCTCACAATCCAATTCAACATGACAAGACAAAATATATTGAGATTACTAGCGGCATGATATGTATTCCTTTTGTGAAGTCAGGCGAACAACTTGCAGACATCCTCACCAATGGAGTTAGGAGTAAACCATTTCATGACATTCTAGGCAAGTTGGGCATGCGAGACATCTTCGCACCAACTTGAGGGGGACTGTTAGAATATTTTCTTGCTTGCTTATTTAGATTAGATTGTGATTGATTGATTGATTGATTGTGATTCCTCAATCAGTTAATTAATCAATCAATATAAAAAGTAATTCCTTAATCAGTGCTAGGGCTTCCTTTCGTAACAATTGATTGATTAATATAAAAGGTGATGATATCATAATCATCACTCAAGCTTTGTTTTCTCTCAAATTACATTTAATGGGGCTAGCAAATTGAGTAAGCACCATCTCATAAAATGTCTAAAAATAGGAAAAAACTTCACTTTTGGTCCGGACTCTAGAGCAAGTAAACCCAAGTCACACGAGAATAGCAATCAATGAAAGTGACAAAACACCGATAACCAAAGATAGACAAAATACGAGATGGACCCCAAACATCAGAATGAATAACCATAAAAAGAAAAAGACTTCTTTTATTAATAGGAGGATAACAAGAACGTTTATGTTTGTCAAACTCACAAGCATCACAATGAAAATTATTCTTATGGCAATCATTTACTAAAGTAGGAAAACATTTTTCTAAAACAGAAATAGAGGGATGTCCTAAACACCTATGCCACTGATGCAACAGAAGTGTTAATCGCTTCACGAGGATCGTGAGAAGATCCAAGAGAAGAAAGTCTAACATCCATAAAGTATAGGCCCCCATGTGCATTACCACTGCCAATCGTTCTCCCCGTACCCAATTCCTGAAAAAACACAATGAGAAAGATAAAAAGTTCTGGAACAATTTAGCGAAATTGTAAAGACGACTAACAGAGAGTAAATTAGTAAAGAATTGGGGAACAAGAAGAACAAAAGAAATAGAAATAAGGGAGAGCAATGAACAGAGCATGTCCCAAACACAAAAGATGAAGACTCATCAGCAACTCTTACTTTATCTTTGCCAGAACAAGGAGTGTAAGAGTGGAAAAGATGAGACAAACCTGTCATGTGGTCAGTAACACCGGAACCAATGACCCAAGGATATGAAGGGAAAGAAGAAGCACTCAAGACACTCGTAAGAATACCTGTGGACCCAAGTTAGAAGCAAAGGGAGGATCAAAAGTAGAAGCAGAGAAATCAATCTGAACCATCAGACGCCGGAGAGTGTGCAACTCATCATAGGAAAGGGTGGCAGAATCTCCTGGGTGCTAGCAGACGACTCAAAGAGATCGGCATGAGAACAAACAAAGCCACCACGGGTACTACCCTACCCTCGAGGAAGACGACCATGCAACTTCCAACAATGTTCCCTATCATGCCAGTCTTTTCCACAATAATCACATGTAATCTGACTACGATCAATACTACCACCTTTACCCCCAGAGTTGGAGAATGAACCATCCTTTGGAGCAAAAGAAACAGCCAAGGCAAAGCGATCTTGGAGAAACGGATGAACCATAGCACTACGCTTTCTAAAAATAAGCATACGCCTCACGCACAATAGGGAAAGGATCTCGACCGAGAATCTAAACATGAATCTGATCATACTCAATGTTAAGGCCAGCAAGAAAATCATAGACCCTCTCCTTGGATACCATTTGCTAAAAAGTAGTAGCATCTTGAGAACAAACAACCTAGAAGTTCTGATAATAGTCGAGTTCTTGCCACAAGCTACTTAACTCCGCATAGTACTTGGCAAGGGACCTATCCTTCTGCTCGAACCCCCATATTTTCTTCCGCAACTCATAGGCCTAAGCATTGTTACCACGCTGGGAATACATCTGAGCAGCAACAACAGCAGCAGCAGTCCATGTCTCATGAGCAGTATCCATCAAAACAAAGGAGCAACTAATACTGGGATGAATAGAATTAATGAGCCAAATCATGACAAGAGCATTCTCCTTAAGTTATTTTCCTCGAGCTGGTCCATCCTCCTTGGGAGCCTTGGTAACTCCCTTGAAGTAACCAGACATGCCACGAGCAGTAATAGCCAATTGAAAAGAACGCAACCAAACCAAGTAATTAGTGCCATCCAACTTGACTGACATAAGCTGAAGAGAGGAATTTTCACCAAGAGAGACATTGGGACTTCCACCTCACTACTTACAAGGGTCTTACCATCATCAGCCATGGCCTAAAACAGAGTGATCACACCGAAAGAATAATACAGCCACAACCCAACAACAGCAAAATAAGGCCAAAAAACCAATCACACTGAAGCAGGAGACCCAAAAACAAGTAGATGGAGGCCCAAAACGATCAACGGGAGCACTGAGAAGCCAAAAAAAATCAAACACCATCTAGAAACATCAACCAATGCCAAAAGGGGCTAGAGAAGCCATGGTTGGCTCCTAAAGGAAGCAACCCAAGGGTTGAATTGAACCAAAAATAGCCAGAAAGAACAAATCGAAAGAATAGGCCTATTTTTCCCCAAAAAAATGAAGAAATTTTGGAAAAACTAGGCAACCATAAACAAAAAATTTTGAAAATTTTTCTAGGTACTCCCTTACCCTAGTCAATAATGGTAGGAATTTTTATTTTTATTTTTATTTTTTTTACATTATTCAACAAGAACACCTAATGTACGAACAAAATAAAAAACAATCCTCAGAAATAAAGATATAAAAAATAGAAGAACAGAAAATAAGAACCCTGCTCTGATACCAAGTTAAAACTGGAGCATAACAGTCGATCGAGAGAGAGAGAGAGAGAGAGATATGCTGGAAGAAGGGGCACAAAACCTAATTAGGTTTCTTACGTCACTAAGCACTTGAATTTATAATAATAAGACAATAAGTACAATGACACTAATACCCTCAAGCACATAACTAAACATATATCCATGATTCCAAGAATCAGAAGGTAATTAGGTCACCAATCCAAAAACTAAATGGTACTGGCAATAATGATGTAGCAGCAAAATGACAAAGGTAAACATAAAGAAAAGAAGACACATACAAAGTATTGCAGAGCCAAAGGTGCTTCCAAAAGTAAAGATACACTCCGCCTAAAAATTAATATTTAGACAATCATATATTTATGCAAAAAGGCCTGTCCATAGAAATACCTGTCCCTTTTTAGTAGTAAGTTGCCGAAGTATTGTTTCAGGCTTTGTCTTCCCTACAGTTGGTTCACCTCTAAAGAAAACAATAAAGCATGTGCTATTAGTGATGAGACTTATTATGACAATATCCCCAAGTAATTGAAAATATATAAAGCAATTCAAGGGAGATTCTTACGTCTTCCACGATCAAGGAAACGTATAGATATATTGTTGACCTCAGCTTCAGAAACTTGTAACCTAATAATACCCCCAGAAAGAATCTCAACGCCAGAAACCTGTGATAGTTTTCAAAATACAATCGACTATTAACATTAAAAACGTATGGTCCAGGCCGATTACAAGTCTTCACACACAAGCTTTAATTTAGCATGGATGAAGTGCTAACCAAGCCAAAAAGACCCCTCTCCATGTACCAGCCATTGATGGAATCTATTACTTCATCTAAACGCCTAATATTAACCACTTTTCCTGCATAACTTGACACCAAAATCAACAGAACAGATGTCTCCTATCAGTAGTATTCAGTAATACAGCAAGTCTAATAATCTAGGATTATTATATAATATATGCATATATGCACACACACGCAAACATCCGTAGTACACATTTATGCATGCGCAACTCTGTAAAGATTAAAAAGAAAAGCGTACCATATCCATCACGAAAAGAATCCTCTATAAACTTTGTCGGAAGAACATTAGCCCCTTCACACACCAACCCTTGGAACTCTTGGTTTGGTTCTACCTTATGCCAAAACATAGCAATATGAATTATTATGCCAATCCACACCATAAAGAAAACATGTTTTCAAGAAATGTTAATGCATGCCTATTAAGCTATATGGCTTACACAAATATAACAACAAAAACAAACCAATAATTCGTTTCTATTGACCCAGGATGCTAAATGATTCCGTAATGATGTGATCGAGATCCAAGGCTATTTCTAGTGAGAAAAGTGATTTATTGCACTTAGCAAGAAGGGAAGAAAAAGGTTTTAAGTTCTTCGCTTGTTTTGACTTGTATGATATAATATCCTTTGGGATTAGCCACAATGAATTTTAGAAGGTTTTTCCTTTAGGTATATTTTTGTGAGTTTCCTTAGTCAGAAGGTTACCTCTATTCATGTGGCTACTAATAGAACTACGAATTGAAGTCACACATGGCCTATCTACAAAAGTTATATGCAGGAATAAGCATGACGCCACCCTCACCTCAATAGCTAGCTTTTAGGATTGAGTTCTACCGAATATCATGTAACATTATATCAGAGCTCAAGTTGGGGGAGATCTTGGATTCAAGTCTCTCCATTTGCATTTGGTCCCGATTTCTATTCTTCTTTCTATGTACAAATATTGCATCTCTACTTGCAAGACCGGGTTGCATGTGAAGGAACATAATGAATCACTTAATATACATTGTTAGACCCATTTCCCAATAGCTTAGCTTTTGGGACAGTTGATGACTTAAAAAGAACAGTTATCTTTCTGGCTACTTATAAGCACTTGTCACGTACTTGTCATTATAGTAGTTACATGTAAGCCACTTGTAAATTGCTCGTTGAATGGTTGCAATCAAGACACATTTCACTTGCTATTAAGTGGTTGCATGAATGCCACTTGCCACCTTAGCTATCTATCAAAATAGTTAGCTAGCTTTTGTGCAGGGTTGTAACTCCACTTTTGAGGAAGGTTTTTGGAGGGTAATCAGATATGGTACTTCCTTATACTCTTATTTCTTTAATTTCTAGGGCTTTGCTTAGAGGCCTATACCTCATGGATTTCAAGTCTTGCTTGATAAAAATTGCATAAATCAACTCTAAAAACTCATTTCAACATCACTCCAAGTTTCATTCAGGTCCACATTTGATTATAGTAGTTGAGAAACTCCAAGAACATCAAGCAAGCTTATGATAGCATAGGTGCAATTCCCTAACACCAAGAGTTTAGCAAAGTGTTAGCTAAAAAATCAAACCTCCATCAATTGTTCACACGCCAAGCTTCAACAATAGTAAGAGTCTGAATCTTTATATTTTTCTTACTATACATAAGGAGTGAAAAGAAGATTAAACAAAAATCAGAACTAGCAACAGTAATTAACAACTATTCATGGTTAGTTTGATCAATTTAACTGTGGTAAACCAGAAGTTGGCATTATTTCTATAAGAATTGATAAGTCAACCATCTTAACAATTTTCTACCAAAATCCTATAAGGTTAGCAGGTGGGAAAGATAAAACATTCCATGAACCTTACTTGAACATGGCTTGACAAGTAGTAAAACTTGTTAGTGTTACGCATAACATTAGGTTGCCAATTTCATGGCTTGTACATGCAAGTTTAGGTAGAGCCCAAGCCACTACATGAGGAGAGCACATTGGATTACTACAACACCTAGGAAGCTTAAAGTGCAATGGGATATCATCATCACACAGCAAGGATTTTATCAGCAGCACAAATTCTTTCATAAGGTGGATACGGAGTGGGTGGCCCTCCCTCTTGAATATATATGTTTTTGATTATATAGGACATGGTAACAATAACAAAGCTCAAGTTCTTTGGGATTGTACAATATTTTTGGCTACATTTTTTTAGATTTGTTTGGAAAGCAGTGCACAGATGTTTTAAGCCATGTAAGAATCCAGAGAGGAATAAAATTTGTCATGCATCTTCCTTTGGGGCTTTAGCTTCTCCTTTCAAGGGATTCCTGTCTTTATGATTAATAGGGATTTGAGGGTTGTATGTAGTATCATATGTAATCCTATTTTTTTTAGCTCGCTTTTGTACTTTTTGGTGGACTTCTTGTACTATACTTTCTGTTGCATATTTTCTTTTTCAGTCACTTATAAAAAATAATAGTAACCCATTTTTTTTAGCTCGCTTTTGTACTTTTTGGTGGACTTCTTGTACCATATTTTCTTTTTCAGTTACTTATAAATAATAATAGTAATAGCAATAGTAGTAATAGCAATAGTAGTATAATATGTAATCCTATTTTTTTGTGCTCGCTTTTGTACTTTCTGGTGGACTTCTTGTACTATACTTTCTTTTGCATATTTTCTTTTTCAGTCACTTATAAAAAATAATAGTAATAGCAATAGTAGTAGTAGTAGTAGTAGTAGTAGTAGTGGTGGTGGTGGTGTTGCTAATCAAAGAAAATGAATAATAAGTGTTAAATCCCTCTTTATAACCTTAAACAAGAATAGGTCCCAAGATAAATTCATTAGCACATAAAGTGCCACAGTAAAAATTGATTGGGAGGTCAAGTCCTTTTTTTAAATTTTCATCCTTTTTTAAACGATTTACCCTTTTACCCATTTTAAATCTTTAAATATCAGAACCTTTATTCTACCCATCCTCTCTAGTCTATAGGCACAAACATGTTTGCCTCCCTGATTTTAGATCCCTGATTTTCAAAGAAAAATAGTACCGGTAGTGTAATCTGTAATTTAGCATCTTTCAATTTCCACTGGTGTAATCATTAATCTTATTTCACCTTTGTGTTGACTTAATTCCTTGCACCTAGTTTACATTTATTTTTCATGCAAATTAGTTAAAACTTGGTCTAGGAGAAATTTTCTAGAAATTCCCTATCCCGTTTGATCCAAAATCACTCAACTGAATAATAAGAGCATTATAGTCACGGTAAAGAGAATGCAACAAAAAAAGCCCTCCTTACTCTCCTTCAAACTCATAAATCAAGGGAATTATGTCTATGCCAACAATTAAACCATTTGGTTTCTTTCATGAACAAACAAAATATGACCAAATAAATGGTGTTTTTCCCATCTAGGACGCACACATGCAGAAGGATTGCACATTCAAGTTGAGTAGTTGACTACAAACACACACCAACTCATGTCAAACAAATGTCCAGATTTATCATATTATCCTTTTTCCCTTAACATTTCTTTTTCTTTTCTTTACTTTTCCTCTTTTCGAATGTTTCATCTTTTTCATTACAGAATTCTCACTCCAATTGTCAAATTATACCATCCCTCCTTTGGCTTTTAAATTCTTGAAGCCCTAATTCCAATTTATTTGTAGATACTTCGGGTTTTCTAATTCGGACATTAAATCTCTATGTTCCAACCCCTCAATACCAAACACCCCCAACCACCACCACCACCACCGATAATCCATTTCTTCTAGGAAAAAATCAAAAGGACCTCAACAAATGTTAGGGGAAGAGACAGCAGGGTTTTTATTTATATTTTTTTTTAAGACACCATGTGTTAAGTGTAGGATATCGTTGCAAAATCAGCATGGGATTTCTCAATTTTCCAAAACCTTCTCTCTCTTTCCACCCCACCTCACTACATTACCAAAACCTTGTCACTCATTCCAAACAGCAGAATGTGACACCTCTTTCCTTCCCAACTCAATCAAGCAAACAGAGAAGATAATGTCCTTCCCCTACACTACCCTTCCCACACCTTCCCCAGACCATTGGCATTATCGAAACTTTCCCGAGTAAGAATAACCATCCCATATACTTGGTGGGCTCATCATTAGTATTGACTTTGGTTTGCTACATTCTGCAAATATACTTGTCCTCCAAACACGATTAAAGACTATAAAAAAACAACACATAAAACACCTCTTGAGCCTACATATCATATTCTACCAAGGCGTTGAAACTACTTCAATTGTAAAAATGCAATGCCATAAAAAACCTAAGTGGCAATTCATCAAACATGTCATATGCATACCTGAAACACCAATCGAATACCATCCCGTGTATCAATGGCGACAGGCATGCAAGAACAGAAGTACCCACTACTTATAATCCTATGAACATCCTCTTGGACGTCCCTAACTGTGAGTGCCGAGTTGGGTCGGCTCGCCTTCAGTGCTGCGAGAGCTTCGTTCTCGAGGTCCTTCCGCTCCAGCTCTTCGCCATCCTTGTTCCTCACCAAGACCTCACTGATCAACACTCTCTCCTCCTCATGTCGACCAGTCGCTGAGTACCCACCGCCCTTGGGCTGAGCCACCACGGCCTCGGAAGTGGCCGAGTCGTCGGGACGAGTCAGAGACAAGGACGCAGAGCACAAGAGAGAGGACTTGGAGTGAAATGGAGTGGTTTTTTTGTGGGTATTCTTCAAGTTTTTAAGGAATTGATCGATTGACGACATGGTTCTGGAAAGAGTAGAAGAGATTAGGGTTTGGGAAGCGAATTTGAGATTAGAGAAGAGAGGGATGGGGTGGTGGTGGTGGGGGTGAGGTGGAGGAGAGAGAGGGAGTCTGAGAGAAGAGGAAGTGAAACGAACGCCGTCATTTCTCGGCATAGTGTTTGATCGACGGCGAGAGGTTGACGATGATGCTGTTGAGCTTCACTTGAGCTGGGTTTTGAAAATACCAGCTACCACCAACAAAACCCTGGCTACACCAAAAATAAATAAAAATAAAATTCCAAATCGAACCAACTCTGTTTTTAGGCCTTGTTTGTCTCTCTCTCTCTCTTAAAAAAAATTAAAAATTAAAAAAAAAAAAAGGAGGAGGAGAAGAAAGAAGAGTTAAAAAGTCACTATTTTATTTAAGTCACGTCATTTTATTTAAGTTATATTACTTTTTTATCACATCCCTTTAAACTCAACTCATATTTTATAAAAAAATCAAAAAATACGTTTACTTAGATCATTCCAAACCACCCCTCAGTACTCTATGAGCATTTTCAATATTTCATCATATTTTCACCAAATTTAAATTTAATAAAAATATATTTAAAAATTATTAATAATGTTTTCATTAATTGTTCGTTAATGCCTCATTTGGAATTAAAATTTTAATTAAAAAGTCAATATAAGTTATTACATCACTCTCTTTATTTTTCTATATGTCTTTTTATAAAAAATCAAAAATTTACTAAAATAATATGTTCCCGAACGAGGTCAAGAGTGAATCATTTTTTTTCCTTAAATTGAAAACGCATCAAATTTGAATTTGACGGAATTTAAAAAAAAAAATTACCAAATTTTATAAAAATGTAAATTTTGTTTAAGAGGGTGCAAATTATCAAATTCGCTCCATCTTTTTGTCAAACTACTTCGTGACCATTGGAGGGAGGAATATGTAAAATACCGTTTAATCCGTTAAAACACACCAATCTGCACCGTTCTATCAACTAACTACAGATTAAATTTTAAAATTTATAATTCGCCTTCGAAATCGCTCCACTCCACTATAGTTAATACATATATATTTTTTAACCTCTAATAAAATATCAAAATAGAAATGAGTATGAAAGATATTTAAAATGTGAAGTTTATTATAAATTAATAGTTATATATATGAAAAATATTATGTAAAATTAGTTTGTGTTATATATATAAAATATTATGTACATTAGTGTTATATTATACAAATGTTTGATATTTGATTATGAATATTTTTCAATTCGTCAATCCGTCTCAAACCGCCCAAACTGCAATTTGGTTATTTACCAATCTACTAATTTGTTATTTAATTTATAATTTTATTCTCAAACTATTTGAATTGCACCACCTACACCTCTAATTGGAGATGCCCATCGAGCTTACGTCCTTATTAGAGCGTCATTTGAAAATTGCCTATTTTAGTTGACTTTTTTATTTCTTATTAAAAGATATGCAGAAAAATAAAGAGAATAATCAGACAACTTATAGAATTTTTTAACTTTTTAACTAAAATCTAAAGTCTCCAAATGAGACCTAGATTGACCTGATCCTCATGAAAAAATTTCAAGAAACTAATATAAAATGTTAGATGTATCTTCAACCGATCAGGCCATTTCAACCTATAACAAAAATGGTTTGTAGCTCAAATAAAAGGAGCTCGAATTTGTTGCTGGGTTGCCTCACCCTTCTGACTCATGCGCAATGCCTTTTCTCTCTCCACTTTTTCTCTCTCTTTCTCAGACCCCAAATGTATTCATGTTTTGTCAAAGCAAAGAAAAATACAAAAAAAAACGTTTTGTTGTTTAGAAAAATGATTCAAAGACAAATAAGTTTCAACAGTGAAGCATCAACAAAATAGTTAACAACAACAAAAACGAAGAATCAACCCAAAAAACACTTCAATCATCAATTTGGAGAGGGGGGGAAGAAAAAGAAAAAGAAAGAAGCAACTCAGTTCAAGAATAAAAAAACTGAGTAACCTAATCAGAAATCCTCTAAGAAGATTGTGAGATTCTAAATAACCAAACAAAGAAAAGAATCAAGTGAAATGGAAATGGGTAAAAAGTTTTTTTTTTTTGCGTGTGTTGATCGCTCTCTCTTTTCTTTTTTTAAAAAAAGTTGTCTTCTCTCTCTCCATTGTCCCTCTATTACGTCTCTTCACAGCGGACCACCATCGATAACCACACCCCACAGCATCGCGAATGCCAACCACCACCGACCACCATACAATTGCAAACGCTGACCACCATCGAGTTCCCCAATTTCTAACCAAAACTATCTCATAAAAATCAACAATCCCAAATTCATTATAGAGAAAAAAAAAATAAAGGTCTATCTTCAGCCCTAAATCAAAATATTTTCAACTAATTCAAGCAAAATCTATCTTCTTAGTTTATGTTTACTCTTGTCGGCGATTAGCAGTTTGAGAGAAAGATCGTTTATTCTCATCGGTGAGTGAGGGAGATCATTGACGGTGAGTGAGAGAGAGAGAGAGAGAGATCATCGGTGCCATTGAGCGAGTGATCGTTGTCAATCGGCGATGCTAAGCGAGAGATTGCCGGCAATCGGCGGTTTAAGAGAGAGATAACAAAACTGTGAGGCGTTTCAGAAATAAAGAAAAGAAAGGAGCGTGGTTTCATGCAAGTCTGGGCAACTAAGTGAAAGACAAGAGGGAGCCCTGCTAACACATTCGAGTCATTCGAGGGCTTTCAATTTGAGCTGCGTAGCAATATTAAACCTATAAACAACGTTTACCACACGTTTCAAAATTTCAAATGGTCGGTGATACTTCATAATAAGACTTCACTGTGTTGTTTTACTACTCTTTTTTTTTTCCCCCAGATCTAAGGTGTAAGTGTAGACACCCCATTTTTGACCGACCTTAACACTCAGACATCACCGATTGAGCGCTTGGTGATGTTGCATATCGTGCACGTCCAGAGGTTTCAGAGTCCCGGCTGCGAGCCTTGCCTCCGGACTTCCGGGCTCTTTAAATGTAAATTTTGTTTAAGAGGGTGCAAATTATCAAATTCGCTCCATCTTTTTGTCAAACTACTTCGTGACCATTGGAGGGAGGAATATGTAAAATACCGTTTAATCCGTTAAAACACACCAATCTGCACCGTTCTATCAACTAACTACAGATTAAATTTTAAAATTTATAATTCGCCTTCGAAATCGCTCCACTCCACTATAGTTAATACATATATATTTTTTAACCTCTAATAAAATATCAAAATAGAAATGAGTATGAAAGATATTTAAAATGTGAAGTTTATTATAAATTAATAGTTATATATATGAAAAATATTATGTAAAATTAGTTTGTGTTATATATATAAAATATTATGTACATTAGTGTTATATTATACAAATGTTTGATATTTGATTATGAATATTTTTCAATTCGTCAATCCGTCTCAAACCGCCCAAACTGCAATTTGGTTATTTACCAATCTACTAATTTGTTATTTAATTTATAATTTTATTCTCAAACTATTTGAATTGCACCACCTACACATCTAATTGGAGATGCCCGTCGAGCTTACGTCCTTATTAGAGCGTCATTTGAAAATTGCCTATTTTAGTTGACTTTTTTATTTTTTATTAAAAGATATGCAGAAAAATAAAGAGAATAATCAGACAACTTATAGAATTTTTTAACATTTTAACTAAAATCTAAAGTCTCCAAATGAGACCTAGATTGACCTGATCCTCATGAAAAAATTTCAAGAAACTAATATAAAATGTTAGATGTATCTTCAACCGATCAGGCCATTTCAACCTATAACAAAAATGGTTTGTAGCTCAAATAAAAGGAGCTCGAATTTGTTGCTGGGTTGCCTCACCCTTCTGACTCATGCGCAATGCCTTTTCTCTCTCCACTTTTTCTCTCTCTTTCTCAGACCCCAAATGTATTCATGTTTTGTCAAAGCAAAGAAAAATACAAAAAAAAAGTGTTTTGTTGTTTAGAAAAATGATTCAAAGACAAATAAGTTTCAACAGTGAAGCATCAACAAAATAGTTAACAAGAACAAAAACGAAGAATCAACCCAAAAAACACTTCATTCATCAATTTGGAGAGGGGGGGAAGAAGAAAGAAGCAACTCAGTTCAAGAATAAAAAAACAGAGTAACCTAATCAGAAATCCTCTAAGAAGATTGTGAGATTCTAAACAACCAAACAAAGAAAAGAATCAAGTGAAATGGAAATGGGTACCAAGTTTTTTTTTTTGCGTGTGTGTTGATCGCTCTCTCTTTTCTTTTTTTGAAAAAAGGTTGTCTTCTCTCTCTCCATTGTCTCTCTATTCCGTCTTTTCACGGCGGACCACCATCAATAACCACACCCCACAGCATCGCGAATGCCAACCACCACCGACCACCATACAATTGCAAACGCTGACCATCATCGAGTTCCCCAATTTTTAACCAAAACTATCTCATAAAAATCAACAATTCCAAATTCATTATAGAGAAAAAAAAAATGAAGGTCTATCTTCAGCCCTAAATCAAAATATTTTCAACTAATTCAAGCAAAATCTATCTTCTTAGTTCATGTTTACTCTTGTCGGCGATTAGCAGTTTGAGAGAAAGATCATTTATTCTCATTGGTGAGTGTGGGAGATCATCGACGATGAGTGAGAGAGAGAGAGAGAGATCGTCGGTGCCATGAGAGAGTGATCGTTGTCAATCGGCGATGCTAAGCGAGAGATTGTCGGCAATCGGCGATTTAAGAGAGAGATAACAAAATTGTGAGGCGTTTCATAAATAAAGAAAAAAAAGGTGCGGGGTTTCATGCAAGTCTGGGCAACTAAGTGAAAGACAAGAGGGAGCCCTGCTAACACATTCGAATCATTCGAGGGCTTTCAATTTGAGCTGCGTAGCAAGATTAAACCTATAAACAACGTTTACCACACGTTTCAAAATTTCAAATGGTCGGTCATACTTCATAATAAGACTTCACTGTGTTGTTTTACTACTTTTTTTTTTTCCCCCAGATCTAAGGTGTAAGCTTCTGCAAAACTATCACCCACTTTGAATGAAAATGAACATAATGTTGAGTAGTGGAGAATAATATTGATTTTTCTTTTTAATTCTTACAATAACTAAGATAAATATTCGAGGAAAATATAATATTATTGTGAATTTTTAAAAATCAAAATTATTAGCAATTATTCACACCAGAATAAGCAAATGTATTTTTTCAATATGATTTCATATTAATCAATTGACTATGGTGGTATTTGATAAAA